AGGATTTATAGAATGTAAATAAATTCAATTCAATTCAATTCATATCATAAAACATTTTAAGCTGGCAGCAGGGTATAACAGCGGTCACTCACACTGCAGCCCTTTCCAAGTCCTGTGCAAAGGAATTTGCTTAGTTACAAATATTTCTAGTTGAAATCCCTTGCTTTTTATGACATAACCTTGCTCAGTAAAACTCTGTCTTCAGTTTCTCGCCCTTGACCATGCAGATAAAGTTACAGTTGACGAAGGCCATGCCATAGCTCAAGCGGTTAGTCGCTGGCTTCCCACCGCGGCGATTCAGGTTCGATCCCGGGTCTGGTCAAGTTGGATTTGTGGTGGACAAAGTGGCGCTGGGGCAGGTTTTCGCTGAGTACTTCGGTTTTCCCTACCAATCTTCATTCCACCAATTGCTCCACAATCACCCTCACCTATCATCTGGGGCTGGTACAATAGGCCAGAAGTGACCGCAGTACAAGGGACTTAGTCCCACCCCACTAGCAATAAAATAAATATACAGTTGACGAAAGGTTCTCAGTGTGAAAACTTCAGTTCTGTGTTGCACTAGAGTGATTCATTTTATCACGATGCCTAAAGAAAATCCATCTAAATTATGTCATTTAAAACAAATTGTAACTGAATTTGGAGATGATATATTTTCAACTAATGGTAACATTATATGCTGTAAGATGTGTGACACAAAATTAGCGACAGAAAAACGTTTCCCGGTACAACAACATATTGGCTGCAACAAGCATATATGAGCAGTGAAAATTTCGAACAAAGAGAAATCTGTGCAAATTTTACTGCAAGAGTGTTCACTGGAAGGCGGAGATAAGTTATTGGATTTTTTTCAGAGATCTGTGTGATGCTCTGGTGTCCACAAATATTCCGTTTTGGGCTCTGAACAATGAAAAACTGAAAAATTTTCTGGAAGTGATTTGTCTCTGTTCTATCCTGGATGAATCCACCCTCAGGAAAAACTACCTTTCCAAGTGCTACAACTATATCCTGGAAATGATTAGGAATAAAGTGCATGGGAAGTAGATTTTCGTTTCTATTGATGAGGCCTGCCATATGGAGGCTTGCTACATGGCAAATGTCATCATTGGAACCTTGGAAATTGATGGACCAGGTGAAGTGTTTCTGCTTACGAGTGAGGTGCTAGAATCCGTTAATTATTCCACAATTTGTAAACTCTTTGGCAGGTCGATGTTTCTACTGTGGCCAGAGGGTATACGACACAATGTCATCTTGCTTTTTGTGATCGATGCGTCCCCATATATTTTAAAAGCAGACAAGTCAATAAAGTTGTTTTATACAAAATTGGTGCACGTTACTTGCCTAGCATATGCACTGCATAGAGTGATGGAAGAAGTGAGATCAAGATTTCCTTAAGGGGATGCTCTTGTGTCATGGACAAAGAAGATTTTCGTCAAGGCTCCAGCTCGTAAAGTACAATTTACATCTATGGCTCCTGGTGTTCCACTGCACCCGGAACCCGTCATCACAAAGTGGGGAACATGGATTGATGCTACAGCTTACTATTTCTGACATTTTTAGGCAGTGAAAAACATTGTAGATTCAGTGAAGACAGAAGATGAGAGGGCAATTGAAGCTGCTCAGGAACAGTTCTCATGCAGCGAAATGGAAGGACAGCTGGCCTTCATAAAGGCAAATTTCAGTTTTGTGACGGAAGAAATCAAATGCGTAAAGGAGAAAGGAGCAACACTAGAAGATTCGCTCACTCTGGTGGTGGGGGGGAAAGGCCAGTGATTTTGAGAAAGTGTCAGGGGACATTGGTAAAATTGTGCCGAGAGAAGTGAAAAATGTTTTACATAAAAACTCAGGCTATGAAACATTATGCAGCATTTCTCAAATTCTGACAGGAGAGTCTTTCAGCATTTTAAATACTGAAGATCTTACTGCCAGTGATTTGGTACACTTCAAGTACACTCCCATTGTGTCTGTAAATGTGGAAAGGAGTTTCTCCAAGTACAAGAATGTGCTGTCAGACAGTAGGCATTCACTCACCTTTGAGAATCTCCGCATGTTGACTGTCATCTATTGCAACTCTGAATGAGGTGGCACTTAAACATTGGAATATATACTGTATATGTACATTTAATAAGTGTTCCAATGTGGTAGAAAAAACCATATTAAAACATTCAGCTTCAAATTCAACCATATATTGCTTAATTTTCAATATAAAAACGAGGACAAACTCAAAAGAATAACGATGAGTTCACAGTGTTAATAAAGATTAACAATAAATTTTAAAACAATTAGTAGATTTCCATGACATGATACATTTTAGGTTGTTTTTTAACTTTTATGTCATTTTTCTGGATTTTTCGGTCATTTTATAGGTAACTTTTCTGGGTTTTTCGGTCATTTTTAACATATTTTTAGGTTATCAAAATCCGTGCTCTGGTTATCACTCTGCAGTTACTTCTCTCATATCAGAGACAATGTGTGGGGCATGTAACAAAGCTCAGCTGACTGACAGCCTGAGCTATTCTTTGGATGAATATCAACTCCTTCCTGGGCCACCTCAGTGACCTCAGTGATTAGCATACTACTCTCCATATTCAGTGATCTTCTGTTCAATCTCAACTGCCATCACTGATCTTAAAATATGGGCACATTAAAGAATCTGCCAGTACATTGACAACAAATGACCCAAATGCCACTTACTTGCAAGCAATATCCCAGCCGTTCTGTGATGGTGCTGAAGTTGGGGCGCTCTTCAGGAGTAGAGTTCCAGCACTGTATCATGATCCCATACAATGGACCTGGACAGTTACTGGGAGGCTCAAGGCGGCCACCACTCATCACAAGATCCATCACTTGTTTGTTGGAACAGCCAGTGTAAGGCATATAGCCAAGAGACATCACTTCCCATAGCAGAACACCAAATGACCTGACAAACAGACATGCCCTTCTCACATCAAGATCAGTGTCACATGGAGAGGAGGGAATTGTAACAGACATGTAAAAAAGAAATTGTGTATTTACCAGACATCAGTTTTTGAAGTAAAGATACCATCTAGAAATGCTTCAGGTGGCATCCATTTTATAGGAAGCATAGCTTTACCTCCTTTTCGGTAATAGTCAGCCCTGAAAAACAAGAAATTATACACTCATAAATGAAAGAGAGGACAAACAATTAAAAATTCATGTTGCAGTTAAGTGGAAATTTGACTTCATAATGTTAGGAACTTTCAGATCACTGCAAAATAAATTCCAGAGGAAAGAGACCTATCAACAAAGTGTTAAGGAGGAATTCACAACAGAATAACTCAAGTTATGTGTTACTGTTAATAAACTGCCTTTGTCTCCAATGAATTTAATTCTGTCTCAAAATATGTAATGAAAAAAAATCTATGTCTCAGATATACACATTTCCATAACTAGAGTTATATACAAATGGCTTCAAACCAATATCTAAGTACCAACATTTCTAATTTTCATTTCATGCATCCTGTTGTGTTACAATATGCAACTCTTTATTGACTGTCACAACACAACAAACAGAAAAAATCAAGGACAGCACCCAGCTATGGTTTTGCTGAAACATGTAGCGAAACCATACCTGGGCGCTGTCCTTGGTTTTTTCTGTTTGTTGTGTTGTGACGGTCAATAAAGAGTTGTACCAACATTTCATTTCCTTCTCTTATTATTACTTAGAAATTTAACTGAAGGATATAAGCAATGCCTTCTTGTATTAACGCTAGGTTACAGCTGTCAAATTCATAACTCTTAAGGAAATATCAACATTTAAGACTGAATTTTGTAACATAAAAATCCATTCCAGGGGTTCTCCTCTGAAAGGAAGTTATGGAGATGACCTCATTATGTTATATTTTGTAATGACCTACAAGGTGGTTCAAATATGACCAGGACTGATTTGTGTGTAAACAAGCCGCACTGCGCAGCAGCTGTGTGACCTTGAGAGAGTGAAGTCACAACCTCTACCCTCCCTCCTGTTCAGGTTAGAACCTGTTCAGTCCTGTGTGGGAGTTGCTAGACTGATGAGTGAACAGAAGTTACCATAAAGCGTAGAACAACGCATTGTGATCAAATTCCTCGTTGGAGAAAACTGAAACTCACCACAGACTCCAACAATAGTATGGGGAAGAGTGTCTCTCACGGACCTGTGTGTTTGAGTGGTGTAAGTGCTTCAGAGAGGGCAGAGAGCGCATAGAGAATGAACCGCATGATCATCGGCCGCGAACTTCCATCACCGAGCCAAACATTGATCCTGCAGACGCGCTTATTCATGAGAATAGGCGCATCACTATCAGGGAACTTGGAGCAATGCTGTCCATCAGTGTTGGTAGTGTAGAAGACATCGTGAAATACCACCTGCACTACTGCAAGGTGAATGCACGGTGGGTATCATGCAAGCTGCCAGTCGTCTCCTACAGCAGTTAGAAGATGAAGGTGATGCATTTTTTAAGTCTATAGTGATGACCGATGAAACGTGGGTGCACTACTTCATTCCCAAGTCCCAGCAGTCATCACACAAGTGGCGGCATACCAGTTCTCCCAAACCCAAGAGAGCGCGTAGGAGCTGTTCAACAGGAAAAGTGATGACAACGTTCTTCTGGGACTAGCAGGGGGGTTATCCATGTAGAATTTCTGACAGATGCCAGAACAGTCAATGCAGCTTATAACTCAGATCTCCTGGCAACAGACATGAAGGAAAAGTTCTGATCGAAGTGGAAGTCAGGTGGAAAGTGGGTATCCTTCCTTCAAGACAATGCATGCTCCCATACGGCCAAAACAACAATGGAAACCCTCCGGAAATTGAAATGGAACCTTCTGACACATCCGCCGTACAGTCCCGATTTGGCACCTAGTGATTTCTACCTGATTGGAAGGCTCAAATCAGACTTGCAAGGCATGCGGTTTGTGGACGACACCATCATCCAGACTGTTCGGGAGTGGATACACCGCCAAACACAAGCCTTCTTCGAAAAGGGCATCAGGATGCTTCCAGAACGTTGGAAAAAATGTGTTGACTCCGGAGGAGAGTACGTTGAAGACTGACATGTGCAAGTAAGTGTTTTGGCAATTATGGTTTTAAAAAAGCAATCAGTCCCGGTCATATTTGAACCACCTTGTATTATGGTATATCACTTGAAAAGAGAAACGTTTGGTCAGCATGGTACAGGTTGTGTTGGCTGAGTGTGAATCTAGTGAAAGTGTTATGTTTGAATGACAGACCACAAACATGCTTACAGATGTAATAGTATATATATTTTTGTATTAAGAATTCAGATTAATAGCTGTAAAGACTTGTCTTTTGTTCACCATGCCTGCAAAATATGTGTACCTACCAACCAGACTAAAACATGGTGTCCTAACATAGAAGACCACAATATGAACATTTCTGTATGTTAACAATTATGAACTTATCAAAGGAGTGACATTTTGATGTTATACCGGGTGTTCCTAAAAGAATTGTGGGGTTTCACTGCCGTATATCTCCGTCAGTTTTTGGTGATGAAAAGCAAAACGTATACGGACTCATAATGCGGCTCTCAAATTTTCATTTTGTATATCGCGCTCTTTCCTAGTTCCATTTCCGACAGTTAGGAGGCGTGAAATGTAAGATAGCGACCCAGTAGGAGAAGGCCTATTGCGTGCTGAGATTTGAGGTGTCTAAATCCATCATCATAGTGTGCCGTGAATTTCATGTACGTTTTCAGAAGGAGGCGCCACATGAAAACAACATTCACAGACGGTATCGGCAGTTTGTGGACAGTGGATGTCTCTATAAAGGCAAGAGTTCTGGAGGGAGACGTATCAGAGAAGCCCAAGAAAATCATTACAACTGGCCAATGATTCCAGTGACTACATTTTCCAACAGGACGGTGCTGCCCCACATTTCCATAGCATTGTGAGAAGTTTGCTTAATCTGGTCCTTCCGCAACGATGGATTGGACGTGCTGCAGGTGAAGATGCCCCTCTTCTCCGGTGGCCACCCCGATCCCCGGACATAACTCCATGTGATTTCTTCCTGTGGGGGTACGTGAAGGACATGGTTTATGTACCCCGATTGCCCCAATCGCTCCAAGATCTCCGAAACAGAATCAATCGTGCTGTGGAGACCATCACACCTGAAATGCTGCAGCGGGTGCGGCAGGAATTCGACTATTGCAGTTATGTGTGCCGGGTAACGAAAGGTGCGCACATAGAGGCACTTTGATGGATGTACATAAAATTTGGACAGTTAATTGATTGACACGTTATGATTGTACACGGTAAGAAATACGAAATATATACGTATCTAAAACCCCACCGTTCTTTTAGGACACTCTGTATATCCAGATTTTAAGTAGAGAGCATCTATAAAAGTCAATAGATGGATCACAAAACTAATTATTCAAAGGGTCTTTGCCAAATATGCTATATGACATCACTTCATAATGTTGTGAATCTTCACAGTCTCTACTCTTGGTATGTGCATGGCATTAGAGCCTCTTTCATCCTGCTCATCTGGATGAGATCTGTTGTGTTTTACCCTTGAAAATACTAATAGGAAAAGACACTTGTTCCATATTCTTGGATCCTATTTCTTACTGCTTCCACTAGATATATTGAATAACGGAACTGCACATGTGCACATGCATCAGCCTGTGTTCTGCCCCATCCCAAGTTTGTCACTAGTGTGCACACCATCTAGTGGTTCACTTCTGAGATATAACAAGAACATTTCTCAATTTTACAGGAATGATGCTGCTGAACTAGAAGCCAGGCAATAAAATGTTTGCATGGTTCTCTCACACTTTTATGTGCTACTTCTTGGTTGAACAGGTACACATAAAATCAAAGTGCCTTCAAGGAGAATTACTTGACATAGCAGGGTGTTTAAATGTTATAACAAATCTTCTGTGGAATGGGAAACATTAAAAAATGAACCTAACAGGAGTAGATCAGAAACACACACACACAAAAAAAAAACATTTTCCATATACAACACAATGGCATGACAAGTTATGATATAGAAAACCAAAAACTGGGCATTCATAAAAATGAAGAGTAACAGCAGAAATGAGATTTCTGAGGACCATGAAACATTTACTATTTAAAAATAAGAGAAACTGAGATATTTTAGCAGCATTACAAACTACAATTCCTATTCAATGGAGTATTATTATGGCCATCAACACAACAAATTCCAAATGAATAAACCAATGTTACTGTATTAACATTTGTTTATTATTATGTATCTTCTATATGTTTCGATCCATCTGGATCATCACCAGGCAGTTTTCATGACACGACACTCATTATTGAATTGTGTTCCTAATATGGATTCATAGTATCTATCATGTATAGTAATATAAATTTTGTTGCAAATTTCTAGGTCTTATTATGTTACTAAATTCTAGTATTAGTCATAAAGGTTAAAATGTTAAAACAGTGTTTAAAATCTGTCAGAATGTAAAACATTTTTAAAATTATTTATTAATTAATTTTATACTGGAATCATTTTGAAGTGAAGTAAATTTCTATTTTAGAGGGTAGTTCTTAGCTTGGTAGTTGGTGTTGTTTTAGTTCATTACATATCAGAAAATAAGTATACTAATATAGTTTGACTGTGAGTGATATATAATCATATACAGTAAAACCTGTCTTAAACGGAATCTCAAGGGACCAGAAAAAATTTCCGCTGAAGCCAGATTTCTATTTAATCAAGGTATACTATAATAACTAAACCAGGTCATAAACGTATTTGAGACAAAACAAAACAACATGCTCATAAATTTATTCACACTACAATCATTGAACACATGCAAACATTACACTGAGCAGAAAAAACTGCAGTACTCACTTTTTATAATTTTACCAGAACTCCGGCAGAGTTTTTTGCACACAGTTTACTCACTTGGCTGCCTGACTTTCCACAAACACTTTAGCTTGAGAAATTAGAGTAAGCATGTCTGAATCATTCCGTTACACCGCAACCTTCTGCAGTACTTTTAAACTGTTGGCAGCATCCTGATAAGTCTTCACTCTACACTTTTCTTCTATCACAATGTCATTTTCCTCTTCCTCTTCCTCCTTCTCTCTTCCTTTTCGATTTTCTCTAAAATTCTCAACTATTA